TGGTAAACTGTGGTCAATGACATGAGACAAAGTATATGTGAACTGCTGTGTGGAAAGTGAATTTGCTCTGTAAATCTTCACCCAAATCACAATAAATAAAAAAAAAAAAAGAAAAAACATTACTATCAACAGAATGTAAGTGATATAGTAGTTTATTGGATATTGACATAATTCCTACATGGGATGATCAAGGAAATATGAAAACTTAAATTAACCTAAAATACCAAGTAGGATGTGGAGAGATGGAAATGGGAAATGCAAAGTGGTAATGTCAGTGAGAGGCACTGACTTCATGCACACAAATATGGAGGCAGGAAAGCAAGGAGACATTTAGGGCATAATGGATAAAATAATTTAGAAAAGTAGACTGCCTGTCGTCATGGAATTCAAGAGTAATCTAAGCTTTATTGAATAATAAGTAACAATAATAGGAGTAATCATTGATATGTATTAATAAATGACCATGTGTTTTGCTAGAGTCACCTCATTTAATTCTCATAAAACTCCCTGTTATAACTTCCATTTTACCCCAGGAAACCTGAAGCTTATAAATTTGCCCAAGACTGCACAGCTAGGAGGCAAAAGACAGCCATCTCAGCTTTTTAAATAAAGGGGTGACATAATCAGGACAGAATTAAAAGAGCATCAATGTGCCATTTGGATAAAATGAAGATAAATCTAGTTAGTAAACTACTTTCAATCAAAGTAAAGATGGATAGGTGAGACAGTAAAAGAATGAGCTTATAGTCTCTGTCTGGCTTCTTTGAAAACAGTCCATTTGCCCATTTAGAATAACTTGGTTAAATAAACCACAGTCCATCCAGCGGAGGACAATGGAGGACTTATTACACAGTCATTAAACTGAATGAAATAGAACAGAATGGATGATCGTAGAGGGCTTCCCACAGTGTCCTGAATAAATGCTACCAAGGAAAGCATCCCCTGGAGGCAAGGATGGTTACTTGTCTCCCCAGTGCCAAGTGGTATTAAAGTGACACTAGCAAACATTGTATGTTCACTGAAAATATTCCGTTTTTTAAATAATGTTTTATTATGTTTTAGGTAAAAGTTTACATAGCAAATTAGGTTCCCATTTAACAATTTTTATACAAATTGTCCCATAACACTTAATTACAATTGTCGCAATGTGTCAGCATTCTAATTACTTCCATTCTGTTTGTTCTCTTTCCATTGATCTAGTTTCCCTTCCCCTCCTTGCCTCTTCATCTTTGCTTTTGTATGAATGTTGATAATTTAGTTTCACATAGTTGATAGTTTAAGGGAGCACATTACTCAAGGTGATATTGTTTACTTTATAAGCCAATCTATTATTTGGCTGAAAGGTGACCTCCAGAAATAGCTTCACTTGCAAGTTCAAAGGTATCCTAGGGCAACAATCTCAGAGGTTCCTCTGAGTCTCTGCTGGTCCAATAGATCTGGCCTTTTTAAAAAATTAAATTTCGTTCTGCATTTTTCTCCCATTCTGCCCAAGGCCTTCCATTTTGTCCCTGGACAAGCAGCAGTATGGCAGGTGAGCACCATCTAGTTCTTCTGGTCTCAGGTTAGAACAGGCCATGGTTCATGTGGGCTATTACTCCTGTGGACTAGGTATTTCTTTCAGCCTTTGGTTTCCTTTATACTCTTTTGCTCCAAAACAGTGGAGACCAATAGCTGTATCTTAGATGGTCACTCACAAGCTTTTAAGACCCCAGATGCTATTCACCAAACTAGGATGTAGAACATTATCTTCACAAACTTTGTTATACCTATTGACTAAGCTGTTCCCAAAGACTATGGTCCTAAGTCTTTTAACCCAGTAAACCAATTGCACAAGTTGTTTGTATATGTCTAGGAAGGCTCCATATCTATGCACCCTGTGTGCTTTGTCATATATATGGGTATATATGCAGTACACACAAACATGTAAATGCATACACCTACAGATACACCTAGGAGCTCTGGTGGCATAGTGCCTAAGGCAGTTGACTGCTAACCAGAAGGCTGGAGGTTCAAACCCACCAGCCACTCCTTGGAAGGAAGACTGGACAACCTGTACATGCACATGCATGTACTCACATATGCCTTCCTAAATCCATATATGCATACATATCTGGTTATGTAACTACACACATATTTCCTGGTTATTGTTAGTGTTTTTCCAAATTGTATATGTTATAGCATTTACCAAAATTGTCCTTTTTTCTTGTGTGCTTCTTTTTGTCTTTATTTACCTCAGGAGCTCTGGTAGCATAGTGGCTAAAGCACTTGTCTGCTAACCAGAAGGCTGGCGGTTCAAACCCACCAGCCACTCCTCGGAAGGAAGGTTGGGCAATCCTACTTCCGTAGTGATACTGCCTCGGAAACCCAAGGAGGGGTCGCTATGAGTCAGGGCTGACTCGACGGCACATAACAACAACAACAACAACATACCCACATATTTTAAAAATCAGAAATATTTACCTTATCATGAATGGCCCGTCGATTTGAAGGCTGTATTAAGACCTTGTAGCCCAGATTGGTGAGTCCTTTGATATGTCTGGGGGCTAACGGTGCCCGTCTCTCCCAGGCGTTCACGTCCTCCCGCCTGAGGGCCACCACTGCCTTGTGGTGAAAGCCTCGGGACAGGCTGGGTCCCAGCCTGCTCAGTGTGGTCCTGTGTACTCGCAGCATCTTGAAACCTGGTGACTGTGAAAACAATGTCCAAGAGCAAGACAGCAAAAGGCAGGGAGGGCCTACAGGTCAGTTCTGGTCTCTTTAGAAATCTGCTGTAAAATTCAACCAACTCAAATAATAGCAGGTACAAGACAGAGAACTGGGGCAGGGGTGGGGGAAATATGTTATGTTACTTAAACAAACCCAAGTTTCCAAAACAGAGTATATAATTCCAATAGGGACTTTTACCAATAATTGCTAGGCTGACATAGTTTTTGACATGTGTTTTTATCAAACAGCTATTTAGCATAAAATTTTTAAGCCAATTAATCTGCAGTGCAAACCCAGGAGGATAACAGAAAGCAGACCATTCAAACCAGTCCCAATTTTGATGCCATACAGTCAAGATGACATAAATCCTTTGAATACAGTGCTGTATGAGACTCTTCACAGTCTAGCTTCAACTCCTTCCCAGCTTCATCTCTGCCTATTCTCTAAACCAGTGCCACTAACAGCGTGATAAGCAACCCAATGTGGGTCAGTGAGCTGTTTTCCATTGGTCAGTGATGAGAGATGTATGGGCAAAGAAAGTGAACATTTAGAAAACTTTATGTCATCTAATCATTTTTCTAGTAATTCAGTTATTGAACTTACAAAAGCATGTGTACCCAACAGATTGGAAATTTAAGAAAACAAAGCAAGCAAACTAATAACTGTGGTCATTCACCACAGGTGTTAGAAGTTTGACATGTTGTTGTTGTTGTTGTTATGTGCCGTCGAGTCGGCCCCGACTCATAGCGACCCCTCCTTGGGTTTCCGAGGCAGTATCACTACGGAAGTAGGATTGCCCAACCTTCTTCCGAGGAGTGGCCACCCTAAATCACTCTGCTCAAGCTGAGAGCCCCCATCCCTCTATGCAGCCTCACCCTCCCTGTGCTTTGTTGCTATAAATATGCTGTTTGCCCTTCTTAGGGCTCCTCTCTCTACACCCTACTACATTATTCGAAACCCTAACCTGCCTCAACCACTTTTCTACCTCTTAGTCCAGATTGCAAGATTCCTCTCATTCATTCAAGCGAGAAACATTTGCAAAAGACTTATGATATATCCAACACAAAGTAAATTTTATAGAAATATAAAAGCATATAAAAGGAAGGTTGGGCAACCTTACTTCTGTAGTGATACTGCCTCAGAAACCCAAGGAGGGGTTGCTATGAGTCGGGGCTGACTTGACAGCACATAACAACAACAACAACATAAAAGCATAAATATGTAACAATTTCATGACCCACGGGACATATACCACCCATCAACATTCTCAGCCTCTCAGATTTCTTGAGACGCTGCCATCTAACTTGTAGTACACGCTACTTCCTGGCGGGGACTTGTATAACTGAGTGAATCTGAGAAATGGGCCTCATTTCACCAACCCTCCTACCATAGTCCATTTGGGACATATGTGTGGCACATAATTGTATCAGAATCTATAACATCTCAATTTTTTTCCCTTGATTTCAGCAAGATTTCCATCACTGGAAACACATGGTATCAAAAATGTCAAAACAGAAAATAATTTGGTCATGAAAAGGTTAAGTTACTAGTCTACCCCTCTTCAAATGGTTACATACAATTTCGTAGGCAAAAAAATAAAAAAAAAAATCATTTCAGATAACTTGCTGGATAATTTGGATGTAAACCATAATACTCTATGTAATGTTGACATCAAAATATATGGACAGAATGATTTCACATCTTCTAGAAATCTCTCATCAATTACTGCTAGCATATAGCAAAACTTCATGACACACATTCCTGTTACATCAAACGAAAACCAATAGCCTTCAAGTGGCATATGTAACACCCCACGTATGTAAAAGTCAAGCTGGGCTCCATGGTTTCCAATGACTGATTTTTCAAAACAGATCACCAAGGCTTTCTCCTGAGGTGCCTCTGAGAGGCCTTGAACTGCCAACCTCTGGGTAGCAGCTAAGCATACGAACCATTTGCACCACCCAGGCAAGGGCTGACCAAATAGTTAAGGACACACATACATTGCCTTGGGGCAAACAACTAACCACCCTAAATATTTACTTCATATGGCACTCATGACAGACCCAGGGAGCAGAGCAAACAGTGAGGAACACAGCTAAGAAAGCTCTAGGAAGAAGAGGGGCTCAGAGGGAAACAGCTACATGCTGCAGGAGAACTTGCTGATGACTCGGAGCTCAGGCTGACTTGTTTGTGCCAAAATACAGATGACAAACATTTCAGTAAAAAACTACTATATTTATATTTGTATTGTATTTTAATATATAGTTTTGTTTCCAAAAGATATGACATTAAACACTCACTCAACCCCTAATGTTCAGTTTTCCCCAAACCAGAGGAAAAACCACAATGTCCCATAGAATTCAAATCCCGTCTCTCCCAGGCGTTCACGTCCTCCTGCCTGAGGACCACCACTGCCTTGTGGTGAAATTTCCTACATAAAAGCAAGTCCAAAGACAGCGATTCCTTTGAGCATGCACACACGTCCAGAAATGGGCTCATTTTCCAGCAGAGGCTGTACCGCATGTGCCGACAGGTGACCACCTGCCCTTGTACACTCCATCCCGAACTACAATCCAGAGCCTTAGCCGAAGTGAGCATTTACTCTCTCTTATTCCTCAGCTGCTCCTCTCAGCTCAAGCTTGCTTTGTAGCCACAGCTTCCTTGACTCAGTGCAGGCCCTCCTCCTCCTCCGGACCTCCTTCTGTCTGGGCGTGGGGTAGGGAGTGGCAGGAGAGACACCGCTATACACACACGTACAACGTGCGCATGTATTTGCAAAGGCAGGCTTTCTATAGGAACCAGGAAAGGAGAGGAGAGAGTGGCACGGACAGTCCTTCTGGAGGTTCATTTGGGAATTTACTTTTGCTTTAACTTTTTATAGGCAGGGAATTCTTCAACTATTATTTCTCTAGCGTCTAGTTTTACCCAAAAATAACAATAGCTATCACTGATTAGATATACCAAGCACCACTGAGCTTCACAGACATGATTTCATTTCCTCCTTGCAACAATCTTAGAAGCAGATAGTACAGTATTATCATCTCCCGTTTTACAAATGAAGAAACTGAACTGGAGTCTGTCTGATGGGAGCTGTTGTCTTTAAGAAAAAGCAGGACTCCTCCGTTCATGTCTAAGACTCGAGATTTTCTCTTCTTTACCACAGCACACAGCTCCACACCATGAGGATCAGATGCATGCTACTGTCACTTCTGCCAGCTCTTGCTTCAGAAAGAAATCCGATCCATGTGACATCAGTTTTCATAACTCAAAACCAAACTCCCTGCCATCGAGTGTACTCCAACTCATAGCGACCCCTGCTGGGTTTCCAAGGCTATAAATCTTTACAGGAGCAGACTGCCTCCTCTTTCTTCCAAGGAGCAGCTGGGGGGTTTGAACCACCCAACTTTTGGTTAGCAGCCAGATGCCTTAACCACTACACTACCAGAGCTCCTCTATCAACTCTAAATGGTAAAAGGTCTGTTCTCCACTCCTTATCAGTGCCTCTCTCAAACCTTTTCCTGGGTTCCACCAAAAACCATTTTGTGTCCCTACCAAGGTAAACTCTACCATGAGTTTAAGCATGTTTGAGAAAAACATATTTGATTACAGCAGGTATTAATGTATTAGTAACTTCTTAGATCTTAAAATCTGGTCTCATCATAGAACTTCCCAGACCCACTACTCATTTGATTGTAAGGTCATCAAGAAATACCTAACAGTAAGGACTTCTGAATTGTTCCTGGGTAGGTAGGGTACTACAAAGGAGCTCTAGTGGTGCAGCAGATAAGGTATTTGGCTGCTAACCAAAAGGTTGGTGGTTCAAATCCACCAGCTGCTCTGCGGAAGAAAGGTGAGCAGTCTGCATCCATTAAGATTTACAGCCTTGGATAGCCAATGGGGGTCACTATGAGTTGGTTGGAATTGACTTGATGGCAGTGAATTTATTTTTTGGGTGAGGCCACTACAAGTATTTGGTAATTCATGAAAATGCTCAGGTGTGCTGTCCTGGATTTTGTGGCCTTTTCCAAGAATATCAGGAAGTAAATCAGATGTGTATTTCTGGCAATGCCTTCAGTGAATGAGATTACGGAGCGTCCTGGCTCACTCACAAGTTCTCGTGAGGTTTCTTAACAGTGTTGGGGGCTGATTGCAGCCTGCAGCACAAGCAAGAAGGACATGGAAAAGCAAGAGGAAAAAGGAGGACAAAGAGAAAAAGCTAGAGAGAGTAAGTAGAGCAAAGTTAGAAAGACAAACCCAGAAGAGAGGTGTCACATAGGACCCTTCCCCTGACAACATCTGATCGGTTTTCCCTTTAATAAATGAAGGATCAATGCTTCAAACATTACAAAAATGAAATCTAAAACACCTCTTCTTTATGTGTTTAGAAAACAAGAATAGCAGTAAGGTGTAAGTTTTGAAGTCTCTAAATTTCATGGGAAGATTACAGTGAATTGCTCAGAGATGCACTGAGACGGGAAGAAAAATTGTGGCTACGCCCTTTCAGAAGCAATAGAACAGAAGAGGATACATTATATGATAGCACCTTAACTCTTTCCATCTCTCAAGAGAAGACTTACAAAATTATATATTGACAGTAACCTATCTTTACAACATTGCTATCAGATGCCATCGAGTCGGCTCCAACTCATAGCAACCCTGTACGTCCAACAGAACAAAAAATGGCCAATCCAGCATCATCCTCACAATTGTCATCATGTTTGAGCCAGTGTGTCAATCCACCTCACTGAGAGTCTTCCTCTTTTTTGCAGACTCTCTACTTTACCAAGCATAATGCCCTTTTTCAGGGACTAGTTCCTCCTGGTAATACATCCAAAGCACAAGAGACCAAGTCTGGCCATTCTTGCTTCTAAGGAGCATTCTGGCTGCACTTCTTCCAAGACAGGTTTGTTCATTCTTCTGGCAGTCCAAGGTTTCCTCAACATTCTTGGCCAACCCCATGATTCAAATGCCTCAAG